AGAGAAGGGCCCAGAATCTTGACTGTAACGACATTCATAGGATACGGAGCCATAGAGGGATAACAAAGGATGATCGGAGAGACAGACAGCGTCTAGAGAAAGTGATTGGTGGGTTTTTAGTGCTGGAACAAATTTAAACCCACGTGTGGGGCCCAAATGAAACCACGGTCGAACTGCATGTTGGAGAGAAACAGTAAGGAGGTGACAGTCAGCGCCTGCACAGGCAATACAAAGTCATCAACATAGAGTGTGACCAAATATTTGATGGAAGACTAGAGGCCAAATCATTAATAGAAAGGAGAAAAAGTGTTGTGCTCAGAACACATCCCTGGGGGACACCTTCAGCTTGGATAAAGTCCGGGAGAGCCATTATTAACCCGAACACGGAAATGCCTGTCAGTTAAAAAGTTCTTAAGGAAGGTTGGTAGATTTGCCTCGAAGGCCTAAGGAGGGGGCTTGGGCTAAAATATTATACCTCCAAGTTGTGTCATATGCCTTCTCAAGGTCAAAAAAATAGGCAATAACTGAGTGGTTATTCGCAAAGGCATTACGAACATACGTACCCAAAGCGTAGTAAGGGGTCTAGGGTAGAACGTCCCTTACGAAAGCCATATTGACGAGTGGAGAGACTGTTGTGTGTCTCTAAATACCACACTAAACGTCTATTTACTAGGCGTTCCATTACTTTGCAAACTGCATTGGAAAGAGCAATGGGACGATAGTGGGAGGTTTCATGACCCGTAGTGCCTGGTTTGCGGAAAGGGAGAACAATGGCAGATTTCCACAGCTGTGGAAGAACTCCTTGTGACCAATAAGATTGTAAAGGCGTATAGGACTGCAAGGGCTGACTGATGTAAATGTTGTAAGCATACGAAAATGAATGTCGTCGGGCCCAGCTGCGATGATCGACAAGCGGGGAGTGTTGCCTCCCGTTCTTGAAGTGTAAAAGGCCATTATACTGTTCTTCTCTGAGAGAAGAAAAGTCCAAGGGTGCTAACTCTCTGGCAGACTTTGAGGAAAGAAATGAGGGGCATAGATGGAGTCCCTGAGAAATACGGACCAGATATTGCCAATTTCATTGGCAACATCTAAATGGGTTTGCTATATCAAAACCGGCAAACCCCCAGAACAGGAGCCAGGTCAGGAGAATATTTACCACTCAGTTTTCGTACTTTTTTCCAGACGCACTCATAAGGAAGCAAGGTGATGGTGGAGACATAATCTCGCCAGCAAGTGCGTTTAGCGTCACGGATGGGCACGGCGAGCGATCGCACGCTTCTGTTTTAAAATCAAGGAGTCGCTCTGTGGTTCTATTGTACCGGTACCTGCCCCATGCAGCGCGTTTCAAACGTACTGCCGAGCACAAGTAGGAGACCACCAAGGCACGCATTTCTGAGAATGCCTGCCGAAGTTTGGGGTATAGAATGAGAAGCTGCGGTGAAAACGGAGGACGGGGAAAAGGTGTAAAAGCTCATCGATGGGACGAAGAAAGGAACCTTTAAAAACAGCGGGTGTGAGAAAAAGGTTCCATTTCCCCCGTTTAAAATTCCCAACTGGGGTGCAAAGGGAGGGGGGGAAAATTATGAAGGGGAAGTAAAAAATTGATTGGGAAATTTCACGGGTCATGTAAGGGGGTAAAACAACCACGTGAAGCTAATGCGGGGGAGGGAGCAAACTGAGAGATCGATGAAAGAGAGAGTAGAGACCGAGGTCAAAATGGGTGTGAGAAACCTTTTATTTAAAACATGGGGGGGGGTGGGGGGCAAAAAAAGCCTTTTAAACTAAATTTCCATGGGAATCACAGTAAAAAGCCCCCCCCCAGAGGAAATGGGGGGCTTTTAAAATCCCCAAGTAACAAAATTTCGGTGGCGGTAAAGACGAAAAAAAGGAAAGGAAAAAACCCGGGAAATTTGGATAATGCCCGAGAAGGAGAGAGATAAAAAAAAACAGAGCGTATACCACCAAAGAAAGGGTGGATACCGGGGTGCTGAAAAATGCAGGAAGAAATGAAACAAATGCTGGGGGTACGGAATATCATGGGAGAAAAAGGGCACTTTTCTTTAAAAAAATTTCCCAATCGGGAAAGATTTGAAGAATCCAATAAATTATAGCCTGAGATGTGAGAAAAACGCAGATTTGAAAATTTTGGGTTTTCCTGAAACAAACCCCAACGGGGGCAAACTGGGGGTAAAATTTTGAAGCTCCCCCCCGTTTACCCCGAGGCTGCATATATTCCCCCTGTAAAAAGGCCATGTTTGGGGCAATGAAAAAAGATACTTGAAATCCGCAGGAAAGGGGTTTCCTATGGACTAAAAGGGGTTTGAAAAGTCCACATCCCGGAGGCAGGGGGAAAATGGTTCAAGCAGCGAAGGAACGGTGCGCTTTTAAAGAAAGGTTGGCGCGATGGAGCAGAGGAGAGAGAAAAAAGGGGAAGGTGGATCAGTGTCCATTGATGGTTTGGCTCTGCCAAAATTTTTCGAGATTGCTTCCAAATGTTTCGGAATTCAAAAGTCGTATGGGGGACAATATTGGGGGAAAGGTAGGGGGAGGATAAAATTGGGAAATTTTTTTGGACTGTTTCCAAGGGGGGGGGGGCGAAAGGGTGGAGGGAACGGAAAGCGGGCAGGGGAAAAGAAGAGCAGGGAAACCCGGGAGGTGGGAGAAGAAAGGAAAAAAACTTGGGAAAGGGAAAAGGGGGGGAAGGGAATTACGAGGAAAGGGTTTAACCCCTGCACTTGTAATTTAGGCCCGTGAGAGGGGGAAAAACTAGGGACAGAGACAGGGAGGGTAAAATTTAGGGGGTGGGGAAAAGGGTAGGAGGGGGGTTTTCCGGAAATTTTTTTGGGCTTTTGAAAGTAGGGGGGACGATTGGGAGGAGGTGTCGTCGAGGTCCCCGTCGATACTGAGGTTGTAAGAGAGAAAACCCAAAAAGCGAGATTTGAATGAGGCGGGGAAGTAGGGAAAGTCTGAGCCCAGGACAGCAAAAGGTTTTAAAATTTCAGGGGTGATTATGGGAGGGGGAACCACAGGGTGGGGGTAGAAAATGGGAACCCGAATGGGGGGGGACGTTTTTAAAAAACGGAAAAAAGAAACACGTGGGGTCCCCTTGGAAGGGGGGAGATGAGAAACTGCCATGGCATAAAGGGGGAAACCCTTTTGGGCTCTTTGGTAACCCGGGTTTTCCCCCCTCGTTTAAATAACCTGACAACGGCGAAAAGTTCGAAGGGTGAAACCTCATGACGTTAAAAGGGAAGAGGGAATTTTATTTTCAAGGGCTTATTTGAAAGGTCATCGGCCCACAGACGGGGATTCCGGGGATAGAAACTGCAATATTTCGCTGGTTTGGCCCCAAAACGCCAGCCAAAGTCTACCCTGTTGTGGTGTAGGGGCACCTTTTTGAATTTTAAAACCCATGTCCTGCTATAAAATGAGGATGGGAGTTCTTTGGGTTTTCAAAAGTTTTTAAAGAGCCACATTGCAGGGTACCCTCTCCGCCCCCGGGGGAAGAACGTAAGTGTCTACCTTTAGGGTTGGGAGATCTTGGGTTCCAGCTGTTCTGAAAAGTCGGGGCCCCATGGGCTGGAAATTTTGTTGAAAATATGGTATGGGGCAGAATGGGCGGAAACCCCAAAAAAGGGAAATTTAGGGAATGATGTTTTTCAAGGGGGCAGGAACATATCTATATTTGGGAAAAAACGAGAGAGCCCCCGAGCCTGGGTAGCATTTTGTTTCGGTTTAAAGATGGGGGCGTACCGTCTTTAAGAGATGAAAAAAAATATCTTTTCCCCAAAATTTTGGGATAGGGTGCCTTGCCATACTATTTGGTTTAAAAAAAAAGGCCCCCAAGGGAAATTGGTGTTTAAAAGGGGAAAATTTAGTCCCTGTTCGGGCTGAAACGAGCGTGGGAAAAGGGATTTTAAGAGGGTGTCGATCGTTTTTTGAGAAAAACGGGAAAGGGGAAGGTTTGGGGAAAAAATTTATAGCAGGGAATTTGGGCGATTTACGTTTAAGGGGGTGGGACCAGGTTGGTCCGACGTGGAAAGGGGCCCGGGGATTTGAAAAAAGGGCCCCACCCTAGAGGGAAGGGGGGAAGCATAAATCAAAGGGGAAACGAAAGGGCCCCGATAAAAAACGAAGGAGTCAGTCGAGGGCCCCAGTACCTGGGGGTGGGGGAAAAAAGCACCCGGGAAAAGGTAAAAGAGGCATGGGGGAATGTCTGAAGAAAATGGTCCAAAGACCCAGGCGGGTCAGAAGGGGGGCGGTATCAAGAAGGGGCCCGGGGTACCGGGTTTATGGGGTAGGGCTGCCTGGTTTGGTTTTTCTTCTTTTTGTTTTTAAGAAAAAAAAAAAAAGAAGAAAAGAAAAATAAAAATAAAAAAAAGAAAAAAAAAGGGGGGGCCGGGGAGGGTAGGTCCAAGGGGGAATAAAGGGGGCCCAAAATTTTCCCCCCTGCCCCAAAAGGGCCTCAGCAACCGCAATAGCGCAGATGCCCTGGAAAAAAGGCCTACCCTACCCTTCATGCTGGAAACTAAAAATCCGGGATAGCCCCCTAAAATCGGGCCGGGTACCTCGGGGACAAAAAGGGGGGGGCCCCGGATAACCGCCCCCCAAAGTTTCCTCCTTTGGCCACCACCCCCGGGAAACCCAAAGGTGGCTTCCAGAGATACCCCTCGTCGCCCAAAGACACCCCCAAAGCTACCCGGATACCGGGGAGGGATCGGGACTCCCCCCGGGGGGAAACCAGATTCCCGGGAAAACTACAAACCCCCCGCTTTAAAAACCCCAACGGGAAAGGGATGGACCCCGGGATCCTTTCTCCCACCCAGGAAAATGCGCGCCCGTGGGAGAAAACCCAAAAGGGCAAAAAAAAGGGGGGGCAAAAAGGGGGGAGTGGGAGGAGGAGGAGGAAAGGAAAAAGGGGGATGGGGGATGGGGTAGGGGGGGGGAGATTGGGGGGTAATTTAAGGGGTTTGGTCTGAGGAAGAAGACCGATAGGTCTAATTCCTCAGACCAAGAGCCTCTTCACCACGCCAAGGAGCCCCCCTTGAAGAGGATTATGTTGCACAGATCTGAGCAAATTGGACATGAGGAAAGTCATTCCTTCGCAAGTCGCAGGATTTACCACGTATTTTTGTCTCCCTCCAGTTTCAAGTTATACATGAAACATTGGCAACACTCTATAACCCATACAGGTTTAGCACTTTTTTATATTACATTAATAAAGTATTAACGTTACAGCAAGTAGTAAAGGAATATTAGTTGGTTGTTGTCAGTGTTGTATTTTCACTTCATGTTGTCCTTCAACGTGGTTCCTGGTTGCTGCTGAAGGATTCTTGAACCAAGGAATTAACTGTTATATGACCCTTGAGGGTTTAGCGTTTAGTTATGACTGTAATAATAAATTAGATCAAATCTAATTACCTAAAATTTCCTAGATACTGTATGATTTTATAAGTGTTTTAGCAGTTCCCCGTGAATATGATAGTAGTAATTAACTACGAGGCTACGAATTTAGCGCTTCCACATAAATATAATTTAGTAATAATTTAAGTAATCCATTATTTTACGGGGCATAGTTATTCATGGCTCAGACTGTATAGCAGAAAAAAGTTACTTAAAAAGATGACAAACTTCACAGTTACTGTGACGGTGATACAATGACTCGCTGCACTGACCGTCACACCAGTTTGTCTACTGTTACGTTTTGCCTCTTCCTGGTAAATAATTTTTATATTATCAATGGTAATACTGGTGTTCCGGTGATTCTGAATGATGAGAGCCTCTTTCTGGAGGATGACAGTGCGAATGATCTCCACAGTGGCACTGTCATGCAGACTGAGGTATGTTGGCATTGTTTCTATCACAGAGTCTGCTATCACCAGTGTTGCATGATCAACCAGTTGCAAGCTGGTGAGGGAGGAGATGTTGACTTTGAAAATATGGATGTCGCCATCTCTCCTCAAAGGAAAGTCCAGACGGAGCTCATTCACCGAGGAAGTGGCTATCCTGATCTTGTTGATATGCGGCTGTGAGAGGAAGGTGTGGGTGATACAGGAGTTTTGCATGACGAAGGTGTGAAGATCAGGAGGCACGTAGTTAATGGTGACATTGTCCAAGTGAAGCTTCTTACGAGGGCATGGTGCGTCCCTGTCTCTGCCAGCTGTGACTTCTGTGTACCAGACACTCGTAACATGGTACAGGTATACAGAGCTACACACCCCAGGGTGTAGCTGCAGCTTACCAACGTTCAGCACGAACACTTCCTCGAACTGATTCACTTTTTCATCAATCTGAACAAGCTGTAAAGGAACATAATAGTATACCGTCAATAATTAGTCCATAAGTTCTTAAGTTGAGAAGTTGTAACCGACAAAACTTAATAAGTGTTTCATTATTAAAATACAAAAGAGAGATAGTACTGTAATAAATTAACTTCTCTGTGAGTAAAATTCAAACCGTTGGATACAAAAAACTGGAATCAATACCATACCTTTGATGAGTTTCGAGAGACGAGCCCGGCCATTGGCCAGGCTCGTCTGGTGCTTGCCTGATCAACCAGGCTATTGCTGCTGGAGGCCCGCTGCCCCACATATCCATCACAGCCTCGTTGATCTGGCACTTGGTGAAGATACTTGTCCAGTTTCCTCTTGAAGGCTTCTACACTTGTTCCAGCTGTGTTTTTGATATCTTCTGGTAAGACGTTGCATAATCTGGGGCCACGAATGTTGCTACAGTGTCCCTTATTGTGTCCATTGCCCTCCTGTTCCTCATTGGTCTTACTTTACATTTCCTCCCATATCTCTATCAAATTTATTTTATAGATTGTCCTCTCCACTGAAACTCAACCACCCCCTTCAGCTTTGTTTCACTTAAAGCCAGAACATCCAGCTTCTTCTCATTCATAACATCCACAACCATCTCTTTCTTATCATTCTCACAACATCCACGCACATTCAGACATCCCACTTGTGTGTGTGTGAATGCGTATAATATTCTTTCCCATTTAAAGGTTTAAACTATTTTTCGATTTTGGGTGACTAAGTGACTAGCTACCTCAGTGACTTTCTTATTGGAGGTGTCCAAATGACTAGCTACCTCAGTGACTCTCGTATTGGAGGTATCCAAGTGACTAGCTACCTCAGTGACTTTCTTATTGGAGGTGTCCAAATGACTAGCTACCTCAGTGACTCTCGTATTGGAGGTATCCAAGTGACTAGCTACCTCTTGACTTTCTTATTGGAGGTGTCCAAAGATAGCTACTCAGTGACTCTGTATGGAGGTGTCCAAGTGACTAGCTACCTCAGTGACTTTCTTATTGGAGGTGTCCAAATGACTAGCTACCTCAGTAACTCTTGTATTGGAGGTGTCCAAGTGACTAGCTACCTCAGTAACTCTTGTATTGGAGGTGTCCAAGTGACTAGCTACCTCAGTGACTCTCGTATTGGAGGTATCCAAGTGACTAGCTACCTCAGTGACCCTCGTATTGGAGGTGTCCAAGTGACTAGCTACCTCAGTGACTCTCGTATTGGAGGTGTCCAAGTGACTAGCTACCTCAGTGACTCTCGTATTGGAGGTATCCAAGTGACTAGCTACCTCAGTGACTCTCGTATTGGAGGTATCCAAGTGACTAGCTACCTCAGTGACCCTCGTATTGGAGGTGTCCAAGTGACTAGCTACCTCAGTGACTCTTGTATTGGTAGGTTCCAAGTGACTAGCTACCTCAGTGACCCTCGTATTGGAGGTGTCCAAGTGACTAGCTACCTCAGTGACTCTCGTATTGGAGGTATCCAAGTGACTAGCTACCTCAGTGACCCTCGTATTGGAGGTGTCCAAGTGACTACTACCTCAGTAACCTGTATTGGAGGTGTCCAAGTGACTAGCTACCTCAGTGACCCTCGTATTGGAGGTGTCCAAGTGACTAGCTACCTCAGTGACTCTCGTATTGGAGGTATCCAAGTGACTAGCTACCTCAGTGACCCTCGTATTGGAGGTGTCCAAGTGACTAGCTACCTCAGTGACTCTTGTATTGGAGGTATCCAAGTGACTAGCTACCTCAGTGACCCTCGTATTGGAGTGTCCCAAGTGACTAGCTACCTCAGTGACCCTCGTATTGGAGGTGTCCAAGTGACTAGCTACCTCAGTGACTCTTGTATTGGAGGTATCCAAGTGACTAGCTACCTCAGTGACCCTCGTATTGGAGGTGTCCAAGTGACTAGCTACCTCAGTGACCCCTTGTATTGGAGGTATCCAAGTGACTAGCTACCTCAGTGACCCTCGTATTGGAGGTGTCCAAGTGACTAGCTACCTCAGTGACCCTCGTATTGGAGGTATCCAAGTGACTAGCTACCTCAGTGACTCTTGTATTGGAGGTAGTCCAAGTGACTAGCTACCTCAGTGACCTCGTATTGGAGGTGTCCAAGTGACTAGCTACCTCAGTGACCCTCGTATTGGAGGTGTCAAGTGACTAGCTACCTCAGTGACTCTTGTATTGAGGTTCCAAGTGACTAGCTACCTCAGTGACCCTCGTATTGGAGGTGTCCAAGTGACTAGCTACCTCAGTGACCTCGTATTGGAGGTGTCCAGTGACTATGCTACCTCAGTGACTCTTGTATTGGAGGTATCCAAGTGACTAGCTAACTCAGTGACCCTCGTATTGGAGGTGTCCAAGTGACTAGCTACCTCATGACCCTCGTATTGGAGGTGTCCAAGTGACTAGCTACCTCAGTGACTCTTGTATTGGAGGTGTCCAAGTGACTAGCTACCTCAGTGACTCTCGTTTGGAGGTATCCAAGTGACTAGCTACCTCATGACTCTCGTATTGGAGTGTCCAAGTGACTAGCTACCTCAGTGACTCTCGTATTGGAGGTATCCAAGTTGACTAGCTACCTCAGTGACTCTCGTATTGGAGGTGTCCAAGTGATTAGCTACCTCAGTGACTCTCGTATTGGAGGTATCCAAGTGACTAGCTACCTCAGTGACTCCTCGTATTGGAGGTGTCCAAGTGACTAGCTACCTCAGTGACTCTGTACTGGAGTATCCAAGTGAACTAGCTACCTCAGTGACCTCTCGTATTGGAGGTGTCCAAGTGCTAGCTACCTCAAGTGACTCTCGTATTGGAGGTGTCCAAGTGACTGCTACCTCAGTGACCCTCGTATTGGAGGTTCCAAGTGACTAGCTACCTCAAGTGACCCTCGTATTGGAGGTGTTCCAAGTGACTAGCTACCTCAGTGACCCTCGTATTGGAGGTGTCCAAGTGACTAGCTACCTCAGTGACTCTCGTATTGGAGGTATCCAAGTGACTAGCTACCTCATGACCTCGTATTGGAGGTGTCCAGTGACTAGCTACCTCAGTGACTCTCGTATTGGAGGTGTCCAAGTGACTAGCTACCTCAAGTGACCCTCGTTATTGGAGGTTCCAAGTGACTAGCTACCTCAGTGACCCTCTATTGGAGGTGTCCAAGTGACTAGCTACCTCAGTGACCCTCGTATTGGAGGTGTCCCAAGTGACTAGCTACCTCAGTGACTCTCGTATTGGAGGGTATCCAAGTGACTAGCTACCTCAGTGACCCTCGTATTGGAGGTATCCAAGTGACTAGCTACCTCAGTGACCCTCGTATTGGAGGTGTCCAAGTGACTAGCTACCTCAGTGACTCTCGTATTGGAGGTATCCAAGTGACTAGCTACCTCAGTGACCCTCGTATTGGAGGTGTCCAAGTGATTAGCTACCTCAGTGACTCTCGTACTGGAGGTGTCCAAGTGACTAGCTACCTCAGTGACTCTCGTATTGGAGGTGTCCAAGTGACTAGCTACCTCAGTGACTCTCGTATTGAAGGTGTCCAAGTGACTAGCTACCTCAGTGACCTTCGTATTGGAGGTGTCCAAATGACTAGCTACCTCAGTGACTCTCGTATTGGAGGTGTCCTAGTGACTATCTACCTCAATGACTCTCTTATTGGAGGTGTCCAAATGACTAGCTAACTCAGTGACTCTCGTATTGGAGGTGTCCTAGTGACTAGCTACCTCAATGACTCTCTTATTGGAGGTGTCCAAGAGATTAGCTACCTCAGTGACTCTCGTACTGGAGGTGTCCAAGTGACTAGCTACCTCAATGACTCTCTTATTAAAGGTGTCCAAGTGACTAGCTACCTCAATGACTCTCTTATTGGAAGTGTCCAAGTGACTAGCTACCTCAGTGACTCTCTTATTGGAGGTGTCCAAATTACTAGCTACCTCAGTGACTCTCGTATTGGAGGTGTCCAAGAGATTAGCTACCTCAGTGACTCTCGTACTGGAGGTGTCCAAGTGACTAGCTACCTCAGTGACTCTCGTATTGGAGGTGTCCAAGAGATTAGCTACCTCAGTGACTCGTACTGGAGGTGTCCAAGTAACTAGCTACCTCAGTGACTCTCGTATTGGAGGTGACCAAGAGATTAGCTACCTCAACGACTCTCTTATTGGAGGTGTCTTAGTGACTAGCTACCTCAATGACTCTCTTATTGGAGGTGTCCTAGTGACTAGCTACCTCAATGACTCTCTTATTGGAGGTGTCCAAGTGACTAGCTACCTCAATGACTCTCTTATTGGAGGTGTCCTAGTGACTAGCTACCTCAATGACTCTCTTATTGGAGGTGTCCAAGTGACTAGCTACCTCAATGACTCTCTATTGGAGGTGTCCAGTGACTAGCTACTCATGACTCTCTTATTGGAAGTGTCCAAGTGACTAGCTACCTCAATGACTCTCTTATTGGAGGTGTCCAAGTGATAGCTACTCAATGACTCTCTTATTGGTCCTAGAGATAGCTTAGTATGACTCTCTAGGTATTACCAAAGTGACTCTCTAACATACACCTCTTATGGGTTTCCAGTAGACTAGCTACCTCAACCTTGACTTTATTGGGGTGACTTCTAGTGACTAGCTACCTCAATGACTTCTTCTTCAGGTGTACCGTAGTGACACTAGCAATCTAAAATTATTATTAGTGTCAAGTGCTAGAGGATAACTCAAGATTAATTGAGTAGTTAGTGCACAGCTACCTCATGACTCTCTTATGGAGGTGTCCAAGTGACTAGTACTCAATGACTCTCCGTATTGGAGGTGTCTAGTGCTGAAGCTACCTCATGACTCTCTTATGGAGGTGTCCATGTGATAGCTACCTCATGGACTCTCTTATGGAGTGTCTAATGACTGCTACCTCAATGACTCTTATTGGAGGTGTCCAAGTGACTAGCTACCTCAATGACTCTTTATTGGAGGTGTCCTAGTGATACTACCTCAATGACTTACTTATTGAGGTGTCCAAGTGACTAGCTACCTCAATGACTCTCTTAT